CCCGCAAAAGTTGTCCCCAGCCTTTTTAATCCATCTGCCCCACCGGGGAGGGAGGTGGGAAAAAAAAAAGAAAAGAAAAAGAAAAAGTTATGCACTCACTGCAGTAGGGCTGCGAAAAATATGGGGCAGAGGGGGAAAGACACTGCTGCCCGGTGTGAATCTCACGCAGGTTGTGCGCGCAGCGGCGCGGGCTGCGCGGGAGCGCAAGCAGCCCTGGCCCCGCTGGGGCCGCTGCAGACCTTCCCCGGCGACCGCGGAGGGGAAAAGTTCTGGTTCTCTCCGTAATTAAATTTAATTTGTTAATCGTCTTTCTCCTTTGCAACGTGCCTTTCAACTGCAGAAGCGGCACATTGTTATTTTGTCTGCCTAATAATATTATTTACCAATTGCTACATTTTTTTTTACATTAATGAGACACCTAATTATGCGTGCGCTTTAACTTGTATCCTTTGTTCGGGGGGGATAACCCCCCAGAAAGCCTATCTACGAGACTGACTCCACAAAGAGAGCAGAAGTAACTCTGTGCACGTTTGCCTTACACAAGGTGGTTGTTCTTAAACCCATCGCAGTTACCAACAAGCAGATAAGATGGATCTGACGTTTTATGCAGCTTGTCTCCTGCTTTTTATTGATATTATTTTGCTCAGCAACTTTTTTTTTTTCGAAGGGGTGTACAATTATTTGGACTTTGTTTTCTATCATCTTCCACTCTTCCTGGAAAGCTGAAGTATCTTCCCACCCTCCTCTCTTCAACACAACTTTTGTTTGAGGACCCTGGGGTTAACTCCAGCACAATTTTGCCTGCTTAAGGCTGCAACAACTGACCGCTAATTCGTTCTCACATGAGCAGAGATATTACCATACTAATATTATTATTGGTAAGAAGAGGTAATTGATAACACCACCTGCCACTCTGCAGCAATCACGATGATAAATGTTTCCATCAGAGGGAAATCTGTGCTTGGTCTACCACAGCCTAACCCAAACAGCATGTCAAATGTCAATTATAAAGATGTTTCTTTTCTATTACTTTTTTTTCTTCCTTTTTTTTTTCTTCCTTTTTTTTTTTTTAAAGAAAGCAACTAGCCCCACCACCAGATTTATAGAAGCAGTCTGCAGCCCCGTCGCGGCTGGATGTTTTGCCCTAAACATTTACGTTGTTTTTCCTTTTATTTAATCTCATGCCATACTTAGATCTAAATAAGTATCGATTCATACACACAAAAGCTTATGCTCACACTTAGCAAACGCCAGTTACCACCCACTCCTGTTCTTTAGCCTAATAGATGATACGTGAATTAACCAACACATTTTTAATGCTATGCTCTATGGAATATTTACATGACACTTACTTATGGGGATTTTATCAGGGTAACATACCATTAAGTCCATCTACACACACCATTCACACATGTGGGTGCATTGTTGTGCCTTATCAAAATACTAAAG